CCCCCCCCACACACACACACACACACCAACATCGCCAACGAAGCACAAAGGGTGATATTGTCTACGGCACTTTGTTACCTTCTAGACATAATGAGTCAAAGAGATAACGGGGCAGAGCAGTCTCTCATGAAGCGGGGTACTGCGCATTCAAAACGGTCGGTCATTCACTCTGAACCGTAATGCTACCAAATACAACACTAATTGCACGGGTCGATGCGTACAGCAGAATGTAAATAATCGAGCGGACATCACACTATTTTTCATACGCTTTTCCACGCGACAGATCGCGCAAAATGTGAAAGAGAACGCAGAGCGGAACAGCTTTTTGATGGAGGAGAGGAACGCAATTCAAGGACACTTTCAACACCTCAAGGGGAGGATGAACAAGTTCAGAGCCGCGCAAGCGAAGCGCCTGGGAGAGCTTACTCAGGTGCGTTGAGTCATGTTGTGTCATCATTTCTGCAGCAAAAATTTGCTTCTTTTTCACACATGTCAAGAGTTCTCAGGTGGGCTGTGTGCATCAGAATCTTTGTCCCATCTCATTTTTCCGAAATGCTACCTGCTGCGCCGTGTCACGGTTCCGGGGCATGGTTCTAGCTTTGACGTGTAGCGCGTCTGTGCATTTCATGTAACACTGACGTGCTCACATTTTTGAAATGAAACATGCTTACGAGGCCATGGGTGAGTAGCGAGGATAAGTAACAAACCAGCAAAGGGACATGTCGAGCCCTTCCTTGGTCATTGATTTAACGGCTACGATTCAGGAGGGAAAATGGGTGATTATCCCATCTGAGCTCGGCTGGTGCGTCAAACACATCCCAAACGGGTAGACTGGCGCCAGCGTAGATGATGGAACGAGGTGGGGAAGTTAAAACCAAGCGTTCTACAGTGACAAAAAATCATCTGCTTTATGCATATATCGTGGATATTGGGGTTCAGGGTCATGGCTATGCTGCTGGTATTGGATGGAACTTGGCGCCATGCAAGTTGGTTTCCACGGAAACTTGCGGCCGCGATGAACGTTCATGAGATTCCATGGCAGTTATGGAATCCTGAATGAACATAAAGGGTAATAAGGCATCGATGGGCCTGTCCACGATAATTATTGCATTTCTCGCAAGTACTGGATTCGGTGGAAGCTCTTCAAAGGGCTTACCGTCTACTGCGCCATTCATTCACCACATGGTCGACAGGATCCGAACACCCCCCCTGGGCGGTCGTCATGAAATCGTCTAAACTAATTTTTGTTCCTCGGTCCCACTCTGTTTTTCTACACCTCCTCCGTTTACAGAATGCCAACGCTGTGCAGAACAAATTGCAGGAACAACTAAAAATGGCGAATCAAATCCTAACCCTGGCGGAGCTTGCGAGGAAGGCCGAGACCGAGCAAGAGAAGGCAATATGGCATGCCTTCACTTCAGCTGCCACGCACCGGTCAAAAGCCTGTTCTGCTGATCAGCAATATCTGGCGGGAAAATGGCGCCAAGCAGATCTGGGGGAAATTCTGTCCACGCATCATGACGTACACTACTTGTTTCCTTCACCCTCCCGTCAACGCGCGGATTTCGCCCAGTTCCAAACGCTGACTCACTCCAATGCCCAACCCAGCTCTCGGCCATCTGCAGGGATGTCTGGCGCTATATCTAACACTGTGCAATCAAACTAATCATGCAGGTACTGCCGTTCTACGTTAGTGCCAACACTGATGAAGTGGAAGAAGAGGCGGAGAGAATCTTGAAGGCGGAGCGGGATCTCATTGGTGGTAAGAAGGTACGCGGCGCGTTCCTGTCCGTCGTTTTTCCCCGCGTTCTCTTATTGACGTCAACCCGCGTGTTAGACACGAGGATCCGTTCGTGTGTGTGTGTGTGTGTGGACAGTGATGAGGCGTGGCCCGTTGAAGATTGGCCTCAGCCTGGAACTGTTGGAAGAGTGATACACGAGTTCCGCGTCCGTTTTACCTCAGGATTGTCTAAAGTGTAGTACTTGACCAGCACATCAAGCGTCCGCAAATACGTCATGTAGGTGGAGGCAGAAAAGGACTCTCGTGAGGTGACGAAGTGATTGCTACGGCCACTCGTTGCTTTTGTCGGCGTTCAAGAGGGTAAATCCTACCGGCACATGGCTCAACTACTGTAGTCTAGACCATTCGGGCTGTTTGGCAAAAGAAAAGGAATGAAATGAAATTAAAATCCTCGTGCAATAGTATACTCACTGAACGATCTTCGCATGATAAGCCAAACGTGTAGCATTACAGTCCTGGGACGCTTCCTATTGGTATGAATCCCATGCCCTTCCCTTGCCCCCCGGTACGCAAAACAGAAGCCCAAAGGGGTAGGGGAGGAGGAAGCTGTAGCCCCAAGTCCTTTGCAATCGTCAGCCTGGGGGAAGAACGGCCAGCCGGTGCCAAGATGGAACCACCTAGATAATTTTCACAAGCGCTACAACAAGGCAAGTGAAGGGCGCAATACCTGAAGTTGTTTTCAAGGGCTGAGTAGAATTGCCCAGGCAAGATCGGTGTAGCAAGGAATGTTGTACTTCAACTTGCTAATCCTAGCATGACATGTAAAACAACATGACTGTTGATGGAATAAACGTTTTCATACCTACTTCAGAGCGAGGGTGTTGTGCAGTACGCTACTGCGTGTTTCAGGGGTTAAAATTGACGATGCGACCACCCGTTTGGGACCAATTGTGCATCGTTCAAACCATCAGTACTCGTAGGATAGGACACGCCGATGTTTTCACTGCTTCGAAATAAGTGCGAGTCGAAGACCCACCCGAAGCACCAACCGCCGATTCCCAAACCGCCTACCCCAAGCAGGCGTTGCTAGACAAACTGGCGGTGGAACGCGAGCAGAACCGCCTTGAGGCCGAGAACAGGGATCTGCAAAGCATCGTGAAGCAGGTGAGTCCGCAGATTCCATTAACCGAAGAAACTAGCGAAGGGCTGGGGCAGAATATGGACGTCCTTTCACGGACATTTTAGGTTTACTGGAAAAGGTAAACTACGCGGGGTGCAGAAAGCCCGTCCTGGGCGATACTTGGGGCACTGGGTAATCGGCCGTGTTTGGCCGAGAGAGAGAGGTTGAGAGAGAGGTGGAGAGAGACTGGGAGAAGGAAACTTGATTGGAGAGAGACGGCGGTGGCGGTGGAGGGAGAGAAGGCCGAAGTGCGCAGCACGCACACGAGCCTCATCGTTCCAACCGCGCCGAAAGGGTCCCCTTGACTGCACCGGTGGTACCCTACAACACACGAAATTCCCAACACGCATCCCCTTGGGATCCTCACGACCAGATACTGCTGCGAGTATATCTCAGATCCCCCCTGCTCGCAACAGTTTTTCACTGCAAACTTTGCTAACATCCGATATCTCAACCAAAAGACGTCTTTTCAAGAATATATACCATCAAGACTATACCAAAATGTAAGAAAAATCGTTCCAAGAAATATGAATGAATGCTGCATCGCGCGTAATGAATACTTGGCGCGGAAAATGAAAGCAAACCAAAACATAACCCATCAGAAAAACAATAAATGTTCATTCCAAATTTATTACAAAATCACGGTGAGACTCGAAAGTGTCCTTCGGCAAGCTCTTCATAAGAAAATCTGCACGCTGGCATGGCGACGGCACGTGGATCGCCGAAATTTCCTTCCTCTCTACCAGTTCCGTGAGAAAACGGTGCCTTACATCTATGTGCTTCGAGTTCGAGTTTGAGATGGGGCTCTGCGCTAGTTGAATCGCCCCCTGGTTGTCCTCGAAGACTGGGATGCACGGCATGCCGACCTGCGGCAACATGAAACGCCAAACCTGCCTCAAAAACAAGATCTCCTTCACTACGTCACCAAGCGCCACGTACTCTGCTTCTGTCGTCTAAAGCGTAACACACTTCTGCGTTCTGGAAAACCAAGACACGGCGCCTCCTCCATATGTGACGATCCCCGCTGATACCGACCTACGGTCTGCTGCCTTGCTTGCAAAGTCCGCATCAGCGTACCCCTGCAAGCTGAATCCCTCTACCGTACCTCGCTGAAATGATATACCGAAATAACTCGTCTTCCTTGCATACCCTAAAATACCTATTGCTGCATCCCAGTGGACCTGCTTTGGAGATGAGCAATACCTAGCTACTGCCCTTGCTGCATTCGCAATGTGTGATCTAGTCTGAGTCGCCAGCCACATCAAAGATCCGACTAGTTCACGAAACGGATAGTCTGTCTCTATCTCATCCGCATGAAAATCAGAAAGCTTCACCCCCGAAGACATCGGAACGCTCTTACCTCCCACTACTCCATGCTCTGCTGCTAGCTCATCCGTGAAAGTCTACTGAGAAATCGTCAACCTACCGGTCTCCTCGTTCCTCTCGTAAAAGCACCCAGAATACCATCTCAACTCTCCCAAGTTCTTCACTGGCATGGGCTTGTTAAGGTCGGCGCCAAACTTGTCACATCTCTCCTTCTCTCCCACAGCAAAAATGTCATCTACATGTACTACCAAAGTCAGACCAATACATCCATCCTCAATCAAACGAAACACACAAGCATCGGCCATGCACTGCTCAAAACCTAACTCCACCAAACAGCTCTTCAGCATTGCATGCCACTGCCTAGATGCCTGTCTCAAGCCATACAGACTCTTGCCTAGTTTTACAATCATTCCAGATAGAGCTCCACATCCCTGCGGCAAACGCATGTACACGTCTTCCTCCAACTCCGAACGCACAAAAGCTTGCTCAATATCGAACTGACACAAGTCGAGGTTCAACTCGCACGCCAAAGCAGCCAACATCCTAACACACGAAACAGAAACGGTAGGCGCGTACAACTCTCCAAAGTCAATGTACTCTCTCTGCATATCACCTCTCGCTAAAAGTCTCGACTAAACCTTAATGGGCCATCCAAACTCATCTGCCTTCCAATCGAATACCTACTTATTGTTATTTGTGTTCTCCACTAATTGCTACTTCGACGGAGTAAAGGTCCCCGCTTCCAACAAGCCATAAGACTCCCTTTGCATAGAGTCGCTCCACAGGTGCCGGTGCTACGACGCCATGGCCTCTTTGTAGCTCTTTGGAACACGAAGGTCGCTGGCCTGGCAGCGCGGAAGGTCAGGGCGTTGCTCCGGCGGGCGCTGGTCTCGCAGCGTGGCATCGGTGTCTTCCCGGTTGGCGAGGAGCGTGGCAAATGCGAGTGGAAAGCCCGCTCCTCCAGCCCCCGGGTCCACCTCTGCGAGTGCTCCTGCCTGCTCTCCGGCCCCCGCTCCCCCCGGCTCTCCGGCCTCCGCCCCCCCCAGCTCCCTGCGCTCCTCATCCACCGCGCTTCGAGCCTCCAGCATCGACACCAGATTGTTTTTGTCTAGCATTGAGACGGGTCCTGTGCTGTGCCTTGTTCCCGATCTCGTACGGCTTGGCAGCCGCTGGTCTGTCATACCCTCGGCCTTTGTACCCGGGCGAAGCCCCTGCATGGCGTGAGCCTTAAGCGGGGGCATCGCGGGGTCCGGCGGCGACGGCGGCTGGTCTGGATCGGGGGTCGCCGACGGTGACGGCGAAGCGGCAGATGACGTCTGGCCAGGAGCGGGGGTCGCCGACGGTGACGGGGAAGTGGCAGAGGGCGGCTGTGAAGGCTTGGGAGCGGGCGGCGGCGTGGTCGCTGACGGCGGCGTTGCGGCAGGGGGCGAAGCGGGAGCGGGAGCGGGAGCGGGCGACGGCGTGGTCGCTGGCGGCGGCGTTGCGGCAGGGGACGAAGTGGCAGCGGGAGCGGCAGCGGGCGACGGCGTGGTCGCTGGCGGCGGCGTTGCGGCAGGGGGCGCAGCGGCAGCGGCAACGGGAGCGGGCGACGGCCTGGGCCCTGGCGGTGGCGGTGCGGCGGTCGAAGGCGTCGGTGCTGGGCCAAAGTTGATCGAGACGACCAGCGGCGGGAACGGGGGGGGTGTCGGCGCAGCGGTGATACCAGCGGAACCCCCTCGCCGGCTGGCGCCGACGTCGCCCACGACACGTTGTTGGTGTAGACGATGCGGCCGGTGGACGCCGGGTGGTTGTCGCCGCCGTTCAAGTAGTAGCAGAGGGTGGCCTGGCCGTCGAGCTTGGTGCGGCGATCCTCACGCATGAAGCCGGGCTGGAAGAACGGCAGCACGCGGAACGGTCCCTGCTCGCCGGTGAACATCTCGTGCGGCTAGCGCCGCCCGGGGTTGGCCTTGGTCGCCGACTGGTTGAGAGCGTTGGCGGCCCATTTCGCTGATTCCATCCAAAGACGGTCACCGCGCTCGTCGAGGCCGGGGAGGCGAAGTCGACATAGAACACACGGCCAGCGCTGCGGCGGGCGGCCATGCCGGCATTCATGATGCGCCAGATGGCGCTCTCGACGACGCCGTTGTACTGCGGAACGCCAGGCGGGGTGAACTCGACGCCGATGCCGTTGTCGTCGAAGAATCGCCGGAAGTTGCCGCGGGTCCACTCGGTGCGTTGTAGACGCGGAAACACTCGATGCGCCCGAGGTCGTACCGCCCCACGTCCGCCAGCAGCCTTTTCGTTGCCGCCAGCGCGTCGGACTTCCGCCGGAGACCGTAGACCGTATTCCACCGCGAGGCGCTGTCCACGGCGACGAACAGGTAGAGGTTGCCGCCCAGGGAAGGCACCAGCGGTCCACACAGGTCCAGGTGAACACGCCCGAGTGGCTTACACGCCCGCGCTCCCGGCCCCCGCGGCACCGACCCTCGCCTGCCCTTCGTCCTCATGTAGTCCGTGCACCGTTCCAGCTTGCCCGTGAGCACGATGCCTCTCTGCTGGGCAGTTTCTCTCAAAAGAGGCTCGCAAGCGAGGGAGCGATGGAAGCAGTTGATGTCAACGAACTTTTCAGTCGAACCAAGAGCAAACGGGGACGCACCAGGGCCAAGCGCGGCCGCACCCAAGTCAAAACCAGCACCCCCATCAATACTATCCAAAACACCAGCCACATTCGCAGCGTCACTCTCTAGGATAAACACGGGGAAAAAGTCTTGATACGGGATGTCATCATAGCCATCCATGAGCTGCTCGTCGGTGAGCACACTCGTATCTCCAAGAATCATACCCGGAAAAGTACCCACACACACAATCTCGGACGCCGAGGAAGGTACTACGTCGGCAGAGCCGGCGGGCGGGACGCTCTCACTCGCAGGTACTACACTGGTGGAACCAGTGGGCGGGACGGTATCAGCCGAAGGTACTACGCTAGCAGAGCCAGCGGGAGGAACACGCAACACGGACATCCATGATTCCGCGGAGCCCCCTTCTTGAGAAGGGGAACGCGTGGAGCAAACGGCGGGGGCGGAATCGGGGGCAGTCACGAATGCGGGCAAAGCAGCAGAGTCTACTATAGTTGCAGATGGGTCGTATGGCAACCGCATGGCATACGCTGCAGACGCTTCTTCCTCTCTAGCAAAGAGCAGTCCATCTTGTAGGGTTGCGCCACGCTCGTCGTGGAGGATTTGTTGCTTCAGAGAAACAGCATGTGTTTGTGGTACTTTGGATACGTGTCCGATCTACTGCCCTGTATGCGCCTGATGGGAGTTACGTGGATGGGTATGAAGTACATGGGGGGTCGGAGAAGACCCCCGGTGCTAGAGAGAGAAAGAGCGCACTAGCTCACTTGCCTGAGGGGCTTGCGTGACGAGAAATAGAGATGGTCCTGTTTTTCATCTGCTGTTCCTGGGATAACGTAGTACCCAGTCTCAACATCACAGACCGCTGAGGGCGGCAGTGCACACAAACAGCATTGGTTGAAAACAAGTTGAAGCTCAGGCTCTCTACTACAGACACGCCAGTGCGCTTCACACACATCGTCGTTTTTCCACCATTATCATCCTCCTGAAAGAACTAAGATTGATGCTACCGATAAGCTTCCACTTCGAGCAGTCGACCATCAACTACAACGACATACTTGCTACTGGCGGGGATCTCTTGCAGGTCGTACATGTGCCGGCTGCTGTTGGTAAAACCTTTGCTGGCTCCTGAGTCAGCTACCCATCTCTCGCTACCAGGCGATCCGTCACTAGATTCCACACTCAGCAAAGACGAAACAGACGCAGCAGACCTACTTCAATCGTCACTCCTATCCTACCAAAAAATCTTCGGGGTGAGAGTTGCCTAGAGGCACCGATTGTGCCTTGCAGAGGTGGAGGTAGCCCGAAGATGGAGACGCGCCAGGAGAAGGAGTAGAGGACGATGAGGAAGCGGTGCTGCTGCTGCTCGCGGGGGGGGGCTGACGTGGCTGCCCGGATAACGAATCTTCTCCAGCGGGAGGGTAGTAGACGTAGTGCACGCCGCCGTCAGATGACCGGCTGTCATCGTACCCTGAGGAGTATATATAGTTGTAGCTGTCCCCACTGCAGGCGTAGTGAGCGTACGCGGCGTCGTGGTAGCCGCCGTCGTAGTAGTATCCGTCATCGTAGTCGCCGTAATCTTCGTAGTAGCCACCATCAGCGTGGGCGTAGTACACAACGTATGCCTGCTCTCTTGCGTGGCCAGAACGCGCGTGCCCCGGGCCTCTCCCTGCCCGCTCTCTTTCGGCACGACCGTCGCTGCTGTGGCGTCCCGCGGGCCCACGACCCCCCGGGTGACGCCCCAGACGACCACCAGGCCCACGTCCACGAAGAGGTCGCGGGGGGATGAGGCTTGGCTCCAGCCACCGCCACCATGACCGGTGTGGTGCTGCTGCCCTTTTATCCTCGCCCATCGCCCGCCACCGGGGCCGGGCCCGGCGGCGGTCTACCCCCTCGCTGGCTATCGCCGCCACCGCGGCTGCCGCCGCTCGAGCGGCGTTCCTCAGCGCCCTCCCTCGAACGCGCGCGCCGCAGTTGCTGCTGGAAACGACACTGCTCGTTGGTGGGAAGCTCGGACTGGTGGTAGCGGCAAAATCCGCTGAGGTCGTCGTTGAACACGTCACCGTTCTTCTTCTCTCCGTCTCGATCTGGGCCGCCAGCTGCTGCGTGACCGCCGTCTTGACCCCCGGATGCCCCCCCACTTCCCCCGCCGCTCCGGCCCATGCCGGACGCGGCGAGAGCGAGCTCCACCTCGCGCCTCTCCCCCTTGCTCCTCTCGCGCTCCATCTCCACGTGGGTGTCCCTCACCACAGTCTCAAGGGTACGTAACGTCAGGACATCATGGGCAAGCACATTCCTTTTTGCACGGCATACAACGAAGAGGAAAGGCCACAACAAACGTCTTCGTTGGCATCTGTTTTATCCTTAATCGTGCCTACAGATGCTAGACGCAGGCGAAGGGCTTCTGAGCGGACAATATAGTCCTGTGGACTCTCGGACTCTTTCATCTCCAACTCCTTCCAGTCCTGCTCCAACCTCGACTTTTCTGACTGCTTCTTCTCCCGATAGAATTCTGTCACGATTTTCCGGCCTCTTTGTGGACTATCACACGCCAGAATCAAGCTCTGAATCGGGGGGTACAAGACCTTGCTGATGAGAATATCCCATAGCTTGAAAGACTTGTCTACCACATCATTGCCATAAAGTCTCCGAAGCTCTGCAACATTCACACCCCCTTCCAGTCTTGACCTCGACCTCCAGTTCCAACGCATCATGCACACCCTCCTGGAAATATGAAATCATCTTACCACGAAAAATATCAAACATAGTATACAAGTCCTGNACCTCGACCTCCAGTTCCAACGCATCATGCACACCCTCCTGGAAATATGAAATCATCTTACCACGAAAAATATCAAACATAATATACAAGTCCTGCTCCTTCTTCACGCTACCAAGCCAAGGTTCTATTTCTGAGCCAGGATTGACACGTAACGTGCCTGAGCGGGCAAATCCCTGTTGTTCAGCAATGGCCTTAGCTGTCGCCTTAGCCCCTTGCGCCACGATGTGTGCGACGCTACTGGGGTCGTTAAAGGTGGCTGGTTTGCCCTGGCTGGAGGGTGATGGCTGGTTGCCAGTAGGTGGGACTGGGTGGCTGGTGGTTGGGCGTAGGTGACTTCACCCTCGTTGATCCTGTTGGCGTCAAGTTCGGCTTGTACTCGTTGCTGGACGATCTCCTCCACGTTTTGTTGTAGTTCTTCCCCGCAAGGGCGGAGAGGTCGATGCCCTCCATGGTGTCTGTTGTTGCGGGAGTCTACCGATTGCGAGTGACTGCAAACCCCCCGGAAGGCTACGCCCGCGCGCAGATACCGTGATATCGCACTAGTGTGAAAGGTAAACTACGTGGGGTGCAGAAAGCCCGTCCTGGGCGTTACTTGAGACACTGGTAATCGGCCGTGTTATGCCGAGCGAGAGAGGTTGAGAAAGAGGTGGAGAGAGACTGGGAGAAGGAAACTTGATTGGAGAGAGACGGCGGTGGCGGTGGAGAGAGAGAAGGCCGAAGTGCGCAGCACGCACGCAAGCCTCATCGTTCCAACTACGCCAAAAGGGTCCCCGTGACTGCACCAGTGGTACCCTACAACACACGAAATTCCCAACACGCATCCCCTTGGGATCCTCACGACCAGATACTGCTGCGAGTAAATCTGACATACTGGATGGTAGGCGATGGAGTTGACCCAGAAGAACTTCGAAATGTATGATACAAATAGAAAGGAGGAGACATACACGAGTAGTAGATATTGTGAGCACCCCGCCCATCCTGTCCTGTAGTCCATGCTGCGAAGGGCTTGCTGCGCACATTCGCATACCGGGGCAAACAAACAATACCGAGCCCCGGAGTTAACCCAGAAGAACTTCGAAATGTATGGTACAAATAGAAAGGAGGAGACATTAACGAGTAGTAGATATTGTGAGCACCCCGCCCATCCTGTCCTGTAGTCTATGCTGCGAAGGGCTTGCGCACATTCGCATACCGGGGCAAACAAACAATACCGAGCCCCGGCTTGTAATCTTTCGCGACAGACACCTCCCTTGCTCGCTCGCCGACACCGGCAACGATAGGACTGCGGCAAGAACATAACGAAGACTATCTCTCCCCTCCCGTCCGCCCACGCGCGTGGTATCAATGCATTTGCATGTGGTCGCCCTATTCTGCGCCACCTCAGTATCTGGATGGGATTAGCGTGCCGGAAGACGTGGTTTCGACTCCTAACCCTCTGCTCGTGGTGAACGGCAGGGTCAACATGGCCGCGCCGGATGTAGGCGCCGGGGGGGGCGGGGAGACTCGTCAGATTGCGGCCATTGAGGCCAACCACATGGTTTCCACCGGAAGGGTCAATACTCGCGTCGGCCTGTAAAGTTGTTGTTGCTACGGCAAACGCCTACCGCTGCGTGGGTCGACGCGTGGGGTATTGTTATGTGGATTGGTCATTACACAGCGTTGTACGCTTACGTAGGTGGTCAGGAGTAAACAACAAACCGGGAGAAAATTGCGGATGACCTTCGCCCTGTGTGGCCTGGGCTGGTGCACCCAAACTTCCCGTGAGTTGGAAAAATTGACACGCGGAATGGGTGGAAGGGCAGCCGAACGGCCACCCTCACGCACACTTGAAACCTCGTCTCAAAGAGTGCGATGTTGCTATAGAAATTGCTATAGAAAAGAACCCCGCCCCCCAAGGGAAAGGATCAACAGCACTGAGCAAAGTAGTGTCGCGATGACATGGCCGGCACTCCCTCGGAAAGTACCACGATCTTCCCAGTCGCACTGTTTGACATGCCCTTTTTTCTTTCCAGGTTGTCACATTCTCGACTTGCACGAGTCAGGTAGAGGCGCTTGTGGCCGGGAGCGACAGATTCCTCAATCTGACCGGGTTACGTCTCCTCTTCCATAGTTTACCACTGCGCAAATCCGAGGGCATGGGCCGAGGAAATTCAACTTGGTATGCTGAATCTCTCGTGCTGCACATCACGGTTTTGTGTTTTGGCATTTCCCTCACAGTCGGGCTCAAAGGCTTGAGACATCCTAAACGTCGGGAATCATCTGCGCCACAAGTAAATCCCAAGGCTCCCCGTTGTTTTTCCTACAAGTTGCGGGTGGGGTCAATCACTTTCGTAAACAAGCCTGCGCACAACGAGCGGTGTATCGGATCCCTGAACGTAGTCACACCGCCTGTCTCACTTTTCTGACCGCCCTCTCGATCGATACAAGATAAAGTCAACCATTTCCAGGCCGGCAGCATTGGTTTTAAGTCGGGCAAAGGCAAATAACTCAGTACAACGTCGATGCTCGCCACCCTCAATGTAGGCTTATTGTTGCTTCCAACAGAAAAAAGACACGAGCCTCTCTATGTAGGACTGGATTCAGCAAGGGGAAAAGGGTCGACCGTCGTCGTTTCTGGCACGAGCGTTTCTCTGGATTTCCATATTTCCACGAAACGATCGGAGACGCACCGAAGGTTGTTCGTACTGTTTCGCTATCCACTCCTCCTTCTCCCTAGCATATTCCAGGACTTCGACGTGTACTCCCTGGCTGAGCTGCACGACTGCTACGTCGTTTCGCCCCAAGGGCACGCATGCGCAAGGCTCATACATATCGATCACGAAACACCGACGAGTTGAATCTATCTGAGCAAGTTGTGGCTAGTCGCGAGACATCCTCTTATTTAGACTATTCGGAGTTCCGCCGCTTCATGCCTCGAACGAAACAATATTTGAACCCCCCGCCGCACCGTACGCTGGCTCTCTGCGCCACCAACAGGTGCGCTAGTGAGTGATACGAAGGGTGGAGCTTGCGAATATCGGTTTATGGTTTGGTTTCGGTCCTATTGAATAATTCGCTTTGCTGAATTGCCCCATGTTAGATATACTCGTAGCATAGTAATGTGGTTGAGTATGGGACATGGATCTACGGAGATTGCAGTTGGTAGATCGCGGAGGAACAGGGAGTTTCTGCTTGGTTTCTTCGGAGATTCGATGAGTGATCTGAATTGCGTGACGGATAGGTGTGGTGACGCACTCTTCGGCTGCTCGGCCTCGAGTGGTCTCTGCCCTTCCCTCTTCCCTCTAATACAAGACTTTCCCATCTCGGCCCTCACTGGCCGAGCTGCCTTTCTCCACAAACCTACAAGCTTCGGCCTACCCGGTTTATCCAACACGCTAGCGTTAACGACTTTGTCGAGGGTGATTGGGTAGCGCTGATGGGCAGCCGCATGCGCGGCTGACGACACCCAACCAGACGAAGAGGCCACCAACGGCGAGGGCCTGCACAGCAGCAGCAACCCCAAGACCTACAGCAGCGCCATCGTCAGCTGCAGCCCGCCGTCTACTTGGGTAGTAGGCCCGCTCAGGCACGTGATGACTTTTCAGTTTCCTACTGGACTGTTGTTGGTATCAACACACCCATTGCGGTGATGCGGTATAATACTCATAGTGCCGCCGATTCTAAACGCGGCAATACGCCGTGCGGTACTGCCGTCAAACGCCAACGCTAACGCAACCTCCAACTCCACCTCATTCTCCACCGCCACCTCTCGGCCAAGAAGGTCGACTACCTATTACCGGTAGACTCAATCAAAATCGCGACATCGTCGCGCGGTACCGCCGTCAAACGCTCGGCCAAAGAAGGCCGACTACCTGTAGCATAACGGGTAGACACAATTAATTCAGGTTACCAGTAATCCTCAAAAACTGATGCCAGTTTCTAAACTGATGATATGATGTGTGCGTGTAGCATGGTATTAGAAATAGTATTGTGCGTAATGAAATGCAGTGATCGGCGAGGTTTTTGCTTTGTCATCCTGACAGCCGTGCTGAGACCAACTTTCTCTCCCCGGCAATAGCGTGATCAACGTTTTATCTGGGCTCTCTTTGGTAGCTACTTTTTGAGCAGCAGGTTTAGCCTGATCAAAAATGCGTGATCAACGTTTTATCTGGACTCTTTTTGGGTAGCAGGTTTAACCTGATCAAAAACTTTTCATGTCTTGGTTGTGTCAGCGAGTGCCGGAGACGTGTCAAGTCTCAACGAAGTGCAACATTGGTACCTCCACCTTGTTGCAGATTAAAAATTCACAATATTGACGAAATAAATGCTGATTTCCTAATATTGTTGTACGTTGTCTTGAGATTGCTATTTGTTGTGAGATTGCGGTTCCAAAAGTTGTTAAGGTTTTGACTTAGGATTGATTACCCTATGGTTAGAACAGTAGCAGCAGCTTGATTACTATTTTGCAACAGAGGACTAATCAACCTCCGTTTCAGGATGATATTCAGCTATTTATGGTGTGGCGATATCGCATCGGCAATGAATTTCAGACAAACCATTCCACAAGTAGGGTCCGACGACTTGAACGTGTGTTTCATTTATTGTTTTTTCTGCTGCATGCAGTCACTACTTTGCAGAACCGGGGGGAATGTTTGTATGTTTGTGATTCTCCTCAGTAGTGCTGGTTTGTTCGGAACTAATCTGCCGCCATCATCCCCTCCGAACGCGCGACCTGCCCTGCACCACTGCCGAGTCAATCCTCTCGGAGCGACAATTGTTCTTCCCCCAAGTCAGGCGGACGCAAACATCGAAGCTCGAGCCGCGGCCAGCCGGAAAAGATGGCGGAAGGCGACCGCGGCGGAGGCGTGCGAATTGTCCGCGGGGGGGAAAACAATGGCTTGGGCAATGGGTTATTAAGCGCTGGAGCTTGATGATGCGCCGGCAAATGTAGGGGTTTCGAGTATTGTTTTGTTTTGGTATTAGATTGGATTTTGTGTTGATGTTGTCTTTGTTTTGGTATTGGATTTTGGTTTTGGTTTTTGATTTGGTCTGAACTTTCGGACTGGAACTGTTTGGTAATGGATTTTGATTTGGTTTTGGTATTAGCTTTTCGGATTTGCATAAATATTGTTTTTTCTTGAGCTTTCGACTGGATGGACTTTGAATGTGTTATTTTGGTCTGTGTTTCTGACTCCAACCCCTTCTCAAATCAGGGGGGCAGATCCCCCCGAGAAGAGGGGCACACTATCCTTTCAGGAGGAGGAACGGAAAGCTGATGTTTGGTTTCTGGAGTGTTACAATCAAGAAATATTCGCGTTTCACCTGCGGAAGTTGTCTTGACGTTGACCGAATGTTTTGGGGATATTGTTTGATCGGAATTGTGAGAGTAGCATTCGTTCCTGGTCGCGTTTTATCTGCGAACTGGGTACATTCTGTGTGTTCGGAAGCATCAAACATGCATATTTTATCCCTTGCGAAATTCATGTTGTCTTGGTATTCATGTAGGATTTGGGGATGACTGTATGCATCTGCAGTATTTCGAAGGCGATTATCCAGGATTGATCATTGTTTTGGAAAAGAATGATGGAAGAGTTCTTCCATAATTATGTTAACATGAATGGGTTGTTTAATGCCTTTGAGACGTAAGGGATGAAATGTATGGCGAATACAAATGCGACGAGATGCAGAGAGAGCAGATGGACCAATAGCAAAGCGTTTTCTGAGTTGAAGGATGCAGTGTGCTAAGAGACGTTTTTGGTTCAGGAATATTTGCATAATCGAGTTTTTGGTTCATTGTTTGTCACGGACGAATAGGAACGACGTTTTGGTTCGTAAGTGGATTTATGTTGCCTTGCCGTATCATTACGATGCATACGAGCAGGGGGGCTGTTAGATATACTCGTAGCATAGTAATGTGGTTGAGTATGGGACATGGATCTACGGAGATTGCAGTTGGTAGATCGCGGAGGAACAGGGAGTTTCTGCTTGGTTTCTTCGGAGATTCGATGAGTGATCTGAATTGCGTGACGGATAGGTGTGGTGACGCCCTACTCTTCGGCTGCACATCGGCGCTACCCAATCACCCTCGACAAAGTCGTTAACGCTAGACCGCCACAGAAAAGCTCCAACCTGGCCTTGCTTGCGGATGCGCCCTCGCGTACAGCGCACTTGTAACAGCCGCAGTACAGCAGTAGACCAGTACTGCTGTACTGCTGTAGTTTGGTGTCTCTTTGGAACTAACAGCAGTGGTTGCTCGGTGGCCGAGCGCTGAGACCAGCTGTCGGTCTAAACGGATGTTGGACCTAGGCGCTCAACACATGGGATGTGTCACATACGGTGGCCGACCTACTGTATCTAACCCAACCCTAACCCTACCCCTCACCCACGGCCAAACGCGGCTGGCTGCGCGGCTGCGCGGCGTTCTCGGAAAGCTTTAACCGTGACCAGTAAGATACCCCGTCGGCTCCATGCGGACTGCAAATGTACAACAACCTTGTGTGTGCGCGGGAGGCCAAGACGTGGCAGAAATATCAAGAGTGGCAGGCGGAGGGCATAAAGAGGTCCGTGGCACATACTATCGGGAGATGGAATAGTTTTTTGCGTTGAAAAAAATACCTACAGTAGGCTTGTGCGGGTAGTCTACACATTGGATTGCGTTCGTTCGCAGTCGCCCATTTATCTATTGTCAAAAAAAATGTCTTGGAAAAAAACGACACCTCCACACGAACTCGAATCCATGATTTCGAGAGTCAGGGTGGCCTGCACCGAGTTCACGAAGTGAATTGGCTTTTTTACAACGTCGTTGCCAAGCGACGAAAACCCAATCCCGATGGCAAACACCGAGGGGGGGGCTTCTTTAACAACGTCGTTGCCAAGCGACGAAAACCCAATCCCGATGGCAAACACCGAGGGGGGGGCTTCTTTAACAACGTCGTTGCCAAGCGACGAAAACCCAATCCCGATGGCAAACACCGAGGGGGGGGCTTCTTTAACAACGTCGTTGCCAAGCGACGAAAACCCAATCCCGATGGCAAACACCGAGGGGGGGGCTTCTTTAACAACGTCGTTGCCAAGCGACGAAAACCCAATCCCGATGGCAAACACCGAGGGGGGGGCTTCTTTAACAACGTCGTTGCCAAGCGACGAAAACCCAATCCCGATGGCAAACACCGAGGGGGGGGCTTCTTTAACAACGTCGTTGCCAAGCGACGAAAACCCAACCCCGACGGCAAACACCGGGGGGGAAGGAGGGGTGTGGTATATTAAAAAATAGGGCTAGAGTAAACCAGGGTATTAACGAACACCCCCCCTTTAATGAACACTTTTTTCAAATGCACGTCCCTCGGCGCACAATGCGCGGAGCCCCCCAATTTTTTTTTTGAAATCTTCAGCTTTCCGTTAGCTTTCGTTTGAGCACCTCCGCGTGTCGATCGGGTCAAGCACTCCCGAGATACAGCACAGCCCTCACCCACACCCCTTATGTGGGGCATCTTTGCCCTTTTCGGGGTCCTGCTGCTAAGCATGGGACGTAAGAGAGTAGACCCAGAGCAGGCCCAGAAGGCTGTAGATGCGGTACGCAGCGGTGAGATGTCGCTCCGCGTTGCTGCGAGGACCTACGGGTTACCGCTAGCCTCGCTGCACGACCGTGTGAAGAACAAGGTGGCCATAGATGCGAGGGTTGGTCCCGGGACTGTCCTGAGCAAGGAGGAGGAAGATTTCGTAGAAGACGTCTTGATCTACGCCTCCCGACACTTCTTGCTGTTGGGTCGGAGGGAGCTGAGAGACGCTGTGCGCAACATCTGCACCGACGGGCGCAAGGTGCCCTGGGACCCAGACAAGGGCCCTGGGGACAGCTGGCTTGAGGGGTTTATGGCGAGACACCCGGGTTTGTCGGAGCGAGCCACCCACATCTACGAAGCAAACCGGATTAACGAAGACGGCGAGCCTCGCCTTCAAGCTTTCTACAAAGCATGGGCGGAGTACCTGGAGGAGACCAAGCTCCCGCCGGAACGCATCCTCAACACGGATGAGACAAGTGAGTTAGGGCAAGGGTTGAGGTGTCAGTAGGTGTCATTGGGTGTCAGCGGTGTCAGTATCGACTGCTGTGGGTTCGTAGGCGAAGTACCAGCAGCACTGCGATGTGTCACAACAACGCGGAGTTCTGCTGCTGCAAAAAAAAAAGATCCAGCAGTTGTCCCGCATATCTTCCGAGCCGTTGCTGCTTGTCATGCGCGTAGCACACAACACGCCCGCATGTTTGCTGCTGGAGTCGGCTGAGGTTAGCATGTAACAGTCCCTGTGGTCATCTCAGTTGCACTCTGCCGCATGATTGCATGTGTACATCGTTTTCTGTTGTGATGCTACCGGCAACAGCGGGCGTGTGTTCTTGGTCTGCAAAATGCATGTGTGTTGCTGAACGACGCGCGAAGTGCAGACTAGTCTAGTCACGTCGAGACTTCAGTAGAACGCTTTGTTTTTGTAAACCCACCTACGTTTGGAGCTCAATGCAAACTGCCATGGGTGTGGGGTTATTGTTTCGCACCCAAAGTTTAAACGAATCCGACACTTGCCGCACAAAAAATGGCCTTCACCACTGCTGTGTGCCACCACCCGGAGCGAGCAGCACCCATGTGTGTTTGTACGCGCGTTTTTTGTGTGTCTAGTTTACTGATTGTTCAACTGTCTTTACCCCCGATGCGCGCGTGTTGTAGGTTCGACCCCTCAAGGTACAAAGTCGGGGAAGGCAATCGTCGCAAGAGGCACCAAGGTACCCGGCGCGAGGCGTTCCAATTCGCGAGAAAATACGACGGTGGTCGCCACCATCGGTGCCGACGGCCACACGTTCCACCCTACCATCATCTTCAAAGGCCAGCGTATGCAACCCGCTTGGATCCAGGACAACAACGGCGTCCCCGATGCGAAGTACACCGTCACGGAGTCATCCTTCATCCAGAGCCACGTCTTCCTGGACTACCTTCGAGACCTCCGCAAGCAGCTCGATGCGCGCGGCTTGCTGGGCAAAGCTGCCCTTGTGCTCGACGGCCACGCCTCACACACGACCTTCGACGCCATCAGCTTGGGCATCTCCCTGGACATGGACCTATTCCAGCTTCCATCCCACACATCGCACATCACCCAGCCCTTGGACGTCGGTACGTTCGGAACCTTCAAGATGGAGATCACCAAGGTGCTCACGGCCTACCCGCTAAAGAACGGGGGGAGGAGTCCGGTGAAGCGCGACATGGCTGGCGTGATTGCGGAGGCATGGGCAGGGAGCTTCACGCCTGAGAACAACAAGGCGGCGTTCAAAGGGTCGGGCTTGTGGCCGGTGAGCATGGAGAAAGCTATCAACAGACTACACAGCAAGAGGAAGCAACGGGACCATGACCGCCCTATTCGTGAAGACCTCGCCGTGGTTGCCTCTAAGGATCAACTCGAGCGAGACCTCGGCCGCGCTGCCCTCCTGGAGCTGAAAAGACACGGGCTGATGATCGAGGGGCTCCGTGTCAACACCGTGTTCCTTGGCGGGCTCACCCGCCTCACCAAGCGCACCAAGGCTTTCGCGACCGTTCGGGCGGGGGGGGGGAAGCCCGAAGGTGGTCTGCTGTCCGCCGAAGAACATCTTGCTCAGGCCAAGAAGGACCAAGAAGCGAAGCAGGCAGCTGAGGAAGCAAAGGCGGCACGCGCGGAGGCAAGGGCAACGAAGGAGGCCAACCAACAATCTGGAGCAGTTGGTGGGCGGGGCGGCGGGCAGGGCGGCGGGCGGGGCGGCGGGCGGGGCGGCGGGCGGGGCTTCGGGCGGGGCGGCGGGCGAGAGGGGGGGAGAGGTGGAGGGCGCGAGGGTGGGAGAGGTGGAGGGCGGAGCGGGGGGCGTGGCGAAGGACGGGGCGGGGAACAGGACGGAGGGCGGGGAGAGAGGAGCGTGAGGGTTGAGCTAAGCGGGACGCGGACGGCGATCAGGGGGCGCGGTGGCGGTGGGCGAGAGGGGCGTGGCAGAGGACAGGGTGGCCAGGACCGCACCACTGGTGCTCGTGGAGAGCAAATGGGGGCGGGAGGGCGGGGGGGGGACGAGGGGAGAGGTGCTCCCGTCCAAGGAGGAGCGGGACGGCCGAGAGGGGCGGCGGTTCCCTTGGTTCACCCGCCGCCGTCGGCGGCTCCCATTTCTTCCCGAGGACGGCAGCGGATCCCGACACCAATCGTTGATGTTTAGACCAGGGCAGATGCTTTGCGGTTGTTGTTGTTTTTCTGGGCTACTATTGTCTAGGCGGTGGATGAATTAGACTATACGAGTAAAGCAGAAGATTAGGTGGTTTGTGGGGGCATGTGGAGATGGTTAGGGTGCACCCCAGCAGCGCGGGGGGGGCGGGGGGGTTGATACCGGGAAACCCGGGGATATGGTAATTTTGTCCCCGGGCATGCATGATTTTTTTTTTTTTTTGCAACAGCGTTTCTTGTGATAAAACAAACCTACACACCAAAGGGCGTCTTGTGGGAATGTAAGATGACTGTGAAAAAAGGGAAATGGCCTTGGGGTTCTTGCGGAGAATTATAGCGGTAGCGGCCGGGTCAAGGGGTGCCTGTTTGAACGGGCATTACATCACATGCGCGAAGTTTTTCGTCCTAATTTTTTTTTCTTGAGTCTGTATATGATCAGATTAGACCCACTGTGCAATAATCTCTTAGTTTTGGCTCTTTTCATGTGTGCAGCACCGCCGTACGGTCAAAAATGGGGTAAAATCCGTCCCCGATTTCAGGCGGAAAACCCGGGGATGTGAGGATTTTGTCCCCGGGCGTGGATCGATTCCATTTTTTTTTTCCTAAACGGATATATGTTGCGACAGACGTATCTCCACAAAAAATCAGATCATGAAACGCTTCAGAACGCACGAAAGCAGCTACAAAGCTAAAGTGTTCGTTAATTGGGGGGGGGGGTGTTTTCCTGCATTTTCAGCTAAACAATGGAATGCACTGCATCAGCTCTATCTCGTTGACACGAACGTTTTTTTTTTGTTTTGTTTTTTAGGGAGGTAGCCTATAATACAAGCTATCGTCCGGTACCCACAAATACATCATACTCCTCTTCATGCCCGAGAACGAGCTGTTGGCGCGAGGGGTGGCTTAAGCGTTCGTTAATTGGCCGGTTTACTCTACAATTGTAGCAGCTAAAAAAGAAAACTGTTGTTGGTTCGAGCTTCGATCGAGAAATCTCATAACCGTTCAAGCGTGTGATGGGTAACCAGGCTAATAGCACGGGAGGCACTGGTCGCACACTAGGCCTTCGCGCACAAAAGTGTAGAGAGGCGTACAGCAGTGAATGTCGCACCAATGGTGGTGCGTAGCAGCGTATGTGTGTTGTTGGTGTCATGTGCCCCTCTCCGCGGAAAGAGAGAGAGAGAGGCCGCTGCTGCTGCTGCTGCTGCTGCAGCTGCTGCTGTTGCTGCAACCAAATGTTGATCTATCCTCTCGCTTCCTCCGCCGATAGCTAACAGCAGCAGTGTATGGCACACCCTTCTCCCGCCGTCCCGCCTTCGCTGTGGTCTGTGTCTCCCTCTCCCTGTTTGTCCATGTCTGGC